GGGGCAAAGGATTGAAAATGTTTTGTTGTTGCTTTTCAGTTGCAACCCCTTTCCCGGGAATGCATCATTTAGTGAAAAGGGAAATGAGAGAGAAATTCCAGCTGATTTGAATTGCTCCAAAGTGAACAACATTTCCAAAGAATTTTTCTGACTACTTGGAGTTTCATGACCCCAGGTAGTTGCCAGTTTTACCTAGTAAACTGGGCTGGCCCTGATCACAAACACTGGTGGTAATCTACACACAGAAATAAGATCTTGCATTTATAGTCAAACACTCACTGAAAATACAAACATGCACAGCAGTACTGAAAACATACTCAGCATTAGGATTTACTAGGAATGAGACTAAAAATAAAACCTATAATTCCATTGACATAATACTGTCTAAGTCATAGGCATCTTTATCTCCAAATTCCCAACTACAGTAGATGCATCTTTGTAAGAGGCATGTTTCAGAGTGCTTCAGCTCACTAGGTAGCAGCCACAATTGGCAGTCCACCAGCACCAGTCATGTTGAGCTGGTGGAAAAGGCCACTAGGGGAACTGAAAGAGGGTGCTGGGTAATACAGCATGGAACCAGCCCAAACCAGCACCTCCAGAACAGGATACATTCACACAGGCTCACTCCCTACCCCCCCCCCACAACCCCCATTTCCAGAAATATTCACAAGGACAGCATTCAATATTGCCCACACGTTTAGCTGGCTTGCCCCATGCCTGGTACCATGTCAGCTAGAGCTCGGCAAACACCTTTTGAAGGAGAGGTAGCCTCATATCTTTGCCCCCAGGAAGCAGTATGCTGCCTTGTTTTTCTTTTGTGAATAGCCAAGGGAGTGGTGAAAAAAGACTGTTATGCAGAAAGGGCACGGGGCAGAGAACAAGCAACTGTCAGTCTCGAGGATTCTGACAGTGGGAAGGGAAGGGCAGAAGGGTCTGACTTCCCTTTGGAACCTGCTCCTCTGTACTAGGGAGGCCTTCCCTTTGCTTCACTACCTCTGCATGTCTTGCTGGAGCATATACCAAATCAGGACACCCAGGCAACATGGAAAGCATTTTTAACTAGACACCTGCATGAGTTACTTATTTAAGTAGCTAGCTGTCTCTTTTTTTAGGTAGCGATTTCAGAACAGCTGTGTATGACTCTCTCCCTCTCATGGCCTGAAATAACCCAGCCAAGCCACAATGGCCCTCCCACTCATACAGCACTGCCAGTCGCGGCCTGTGCCATCCGAGTGAGCAGTGGCCTACTTGCGACAGGCTCCCCATCCAGATCTCTGCTAGCGACTTTTTCCCCTGGTTATTCTCATTTTCCCCCTAGGAGGCCCCTTTGCTCTCCCAGCCTTGGGAAATGGCAGCTCAGCCCATTCTTCTCAGCCCCAATCACTGATGGCTTTCATCCTGGAGGCTCTGGGATGAAAGTCAGCAATTCTACTCATCTCCTCCACATTGACTTACTTCTGTAATGCTTTCTTATCCACCTTTTCTGCTGCTCTCCCCTCTTTAGCCTTCTTCCTGCAGCTTTTTTGCAGCTGTACTCTCCTATTATCCTCTCTGTTCAGCAGCAGTGTGTTTTTTCGTGTCAGAAATCTAACCAACCTAAGCATAAATACCACCCTCAACTTACAAGCTTTGGAATCTGAATTTTCAGTTTAACTCTATACAGGGTAACTCCTGAGAGAATGGAGTCTCAACTGTGCAGGACACACCACCGATGGGGAGCAGAGGGAGCCAAGGATTCTGGCCATATCCCCTTTCCCCAGCCTGCCCAGAGTGATGGCTGAGAAGCCATTGTGTCTGACATTGGCTCAGTCCACACGACCACAACAGTACATGTGCCAGTTGTGCACTGAGAGGTTTGCATAACTACCCTCTCAGTGTTGCTTGCCATGTCATGTGATCCTGCAATGGTGGCTTATTGCCATAGTTAAGAAACCATCCAGAACCCATGGACCAGGTTCACATGATCAAGGGGAAATAAGTCATGCGGGTTTATTTTCCTTCCTTGTGCAAGCTTGTTAAGAGCCAACAATGTTGGACATGAGTTGTTGCAACAACTGAACCTGGGGAGAGTGGATGGTTGGGGTTGTTTACAAATCACGCTGAAACCAGTGGGGATACTTAGGGACACTTCCAGGGTGTCTGTAATGTTCAGGACAATATTCTCTAGAGAACATAAAGAGGTAAGTATGGCCTAGCACAAAAGGCCAAGCCTGGCCATTCTTGAACAAGAACTCCTGTGCTTTATCAGCAGTTCCCTTTAAAAAAAATCAGAATATAAACCCCACATACCTGTTTTCCTAACAGCGGGTTGACATTAACCCCCTCCTAACTAGCTACAATAGCTGCAATTATCATCCAGTTCTGGCAAAGAGAAAAAGTTGTAGACGTTGCTGATTTCCCCAAGAGTCAATGGGAAGTATGAAGCCTTGGGCTTCCAGACTAAATTTGGGTTCAGTATTGTGGCAGGAACAAGCAGTTTTATAAAGCATTGAATTGGGGTCTGAGCTGAAGCTGGGCTTTGGTGCACCCCTCTAAAATGTGCATACGCAGGGACCTTGCTTACAATGTAAGCAATCATTGCCAACATGGGAGATTTCTGGATTATCAGAGTATATGTGTGAGGTAATGGCCAGGGCACATACAAACAAGACTCAGGGTGTGAAAGCAATACAAGAAATGAGCACCACGTAGGGTACTTCTGAAAGATATGCCCTTCCTGCTTTTTTGCAATGCTTTGTTTCCAATAGTAACATTGATCAGAAAACAATGAGCTTATGAGGAAACTGCTGCATCGGAGCCTGAGTCAGTGAACAAGGTGGTCTGGAGGACAAAAGGGAAAAGGAATGTCAGGCAGCCTCTCACAGGAAGTTCCGCGCATCTCACACACTGAACATGCAGGATCCAGGAAGTGCTGCAACAGCATCATCTCTCTCACAACAGCTTGTGTTCTGTGGTTCTAATGGTTTCCTCACCACGAGGGTTCTCAAGATCTTAAAGGGACTAAGCATCAGGATGGCTGTTCCTATCCAGTAGAAACAATTTGTGGAAGAAAGTGGTGGAAAAAAGAGTGTTTTTGCCAAGCAACCCTCCCATTAGGATTTTATAAATATGTTTACATCACTAACATGCCAAAAATAAAATGAAATGGCATAATTGTCAGCACAATCTGTCCAGCATATGAATGGAATGCGGGTTCCCATTTCTGATGAAGTCCATTGTTTCATAAGAAATGTGCTCAAAATCCATCTTCCACTGAGGAACTACTGAACATATTAAACACTCCTTCTATGTTGGTGGATTTTGGAGATGTTCACTGTTGGCACCGTGCGTGGCTGAAACTCCTGACAGCATGGCAGGGTGTGTGTAGTCAAGACTTCCTGGCACTAAGTGGTTTCTAAGCTGCTACTGGAAAGGCTTAACCTCTGAAGCCTAGGCACAGCATTAGTATTTGCATTTGTGGGAGGCAGTAGAGCGCATTGTGAAAGGCAGGGTTATTCGGGCAGAGTCAGAGAGTCCTAGAACAATCTCAGAGTAGGAGCATCTGGCACAATAAGGATCCTCCCACGACATGCTTGAGAAACAGTGCCAAGTTTGCATAGATGCCATTTAGATAGGAACAGGAGGGAGGAGAACAATATTTTACATATCTGAAACTGAGCCTTTGCAACATGGTTTAAGGTAGCATTTCTTCCATGTCTTCTGAAACAGCCCTACACCCTGAGGGCAAGCTCAATTAAACTCCATGTAGATATGTATGGGGCTGTCCTGTAAGGATTTGCCACATTACACCTGGCTCCCTGCATTTTATCTAGATGGCCATTTGCAGCCAGCTAGATTTAGGCTGGAAAGGGAGGGGGAGGGAGGAAGCAGGGGTGCTGATTGGAACTGGAACAACTCCTTGGCCCAGGCTCCTTCCCTCCCCAGCTCCCAGCATGCCTGCTCCTCTGCATCCAAGGCCTGGTCATGACCTTGCGGGGGGGGGGGGTGCAGGGACAGCTGGTGCAGCTCTTTCCATGCCAGCTGCAAGTGTGTGGGGGCTCAGCCTCAGCAGCCTGAGCACTGAAATGAGAGGACTCCGATACTTGGAGATACTTGGACTCTAAAAAAAACCGAGATGAGGATAGGAGGACATAGGATTGTACCCGATGTGTCTTAAGTGCATTTCAGTAACTGTGACTGAGACAGAAAGGAGTTCTACAATTTCCACCACTGGCCAGCCAGTCATGCTGAGAGTTGCAGGGCCATTTTCTTTCCAGACCTGCCTAGGAGTGTGTCCTTGATATACAGTACTTTTACTGCTAAGGTAGAAGATGGATTTTCAGACTTGAGTGCCCAAAGGTGGAACTGGGTGACTGTGTTGAATCAGGCCAACTCCAAAACTGCTGGTTTTTCCCCCAGTTTTCAAAATTTTTGACTGATCATCCTTAGCAATCTTTATGGTAGCCTTTATGATGTCAAGAGAATTACAGAAACTAGTTTAATTAAAATGAATTGTTCTAAATTAAGAGGCTGGAAAGGGGGGGGAATCCTGATGATATAGGATCTGGTCCATCCTGCTGGTGTCCACAATGGTGTCCAGAAACTTGGCTGGTGTCCACAATGAGAACCCTGGTCGGGCTTAATTATGGGACTGTTTGATATTCTCTGAACGGTATGCGTTTCCTCTCCTGCTGAATTGTGCTTGCCTGTCGAAGCAATTCAGCTGAAGGAGCGACTGAGGCGGAGAGTGAGGCTAGGCCACTATTTCTGGAGCACACTCTATTCCCCAAGCGCAGCACAGTTCGTCGCCCTTCTGGCTATCTTTCTCCGCTCGCGGGGGTTTGAAACGGGGAGACGCAGCCACGGTCGTCACTGATGCCGAAGGCGTTGTATAGATCATATGACTGCCTTGCTGTGTGCATGTGCCGCACGCAGGGCTGTGCCTGGGTGGGGGCTCGCCTCTTCGCTCCTCCCTACTCATCCCCGTCCCTCGGTCGGAGGCCATAAATGGATGAGCGTCACGCACTAACGCAGTAAAGCCGAACCAGCGGGCACCGAAGGCGCTTACGCATTTCGCAGACCGGAAACGAACCAGCCAAAGGCGTCGGCGGATCCTGCGAGGCGTGCGAAGGATTCACGTCTGCCGCGAGAGGCATCCAAGCCCGCTATCGACAGAGGCGGACCGGACGGGAACGTCGGAGTCAGGTTTTTCGCGGGCGGGTGCCAAGCATCATGGACAGCGACAAGGTAAGGACTGCCACAGCGACGCAGAGGATGGCTTTGCGCGTCCAGCGCTCACCAGTTCTACTTGTTTCCACGTAAATGCAGCACTTCTTAAATTTAAGCTTGGAATGATAACACCATGCGACGAGGATGAAAAGGGGCAACGGTTGGGTAGCGTTGGTTTGCTGTGAGAGCCATGAATGCCTGATGGATGCAGACTGTGATGGAGAAAGATGGCTTCTGTGGTGTTTTCCGAAAACCGGTTAAAAATGGTTAACGACTTCTTTTTAAAAGCAGATTTCTGAACTGAGCACCCTATTAGAATACATGGGGAGGGGGAGGGAGAGGGAGGGGCCAAACCGGTTATTTCTGGTACTGAATAGCACACCGTGACATAATGGGAGAGGAAAGACCCCAGCCTCCTCCCTCTGTGTTTGCAGCCTAAACGAAAGAATAAGCTCCCTTTAATTCGCAAAATAATAAGGCTTTGAAATTCCCACATGGAAGAGAAAGAACCTACTCTTGCTCCTCCTGATGCTGAGAATGAGGCTCCAGAGTATTTGCCTGCACCACGGCGGCTGAGCCTTGTGCCTGTGTGTGCTGCGTGCATCAGTGGAGCATCCATTGCAAGCGTGGGCTTGAAAGCGCACATGCGAAAAAGGCCAAGGAGGCAGGCAGGGGGCGTCTGGGAGAAGCCGATTCACCTCCGAGTTTGTGGAAGGATGCCCAGGGTGATCCGCTTGTGCTGGAGCATTGGTGACCATGCAGACACAGAAACTGCTTGCTCACGCCTGTCCCATTTCAGGAGGATGCTCTTGCTGAAACTCTCTGTGAAGGTCATCTAGAGGATGGCAGAGAATATATCCCATGCCATCCCTTGAATTCAGTAAGTGATATAGTTCTAGAGCTACATCTCTAGAGAGGTTTGAAGGACATGAAATAATGTGTCACCAGAGCATATGGCGGGAGGGGATATGTGCAAGTGAAGGGCTACATTTCAGTTTTGCTGCCTCGCTGGTTCCTACCGCCCCCCCCCCCCCACTTTGTATGGCTGTCTTCTGAGCAGAAGGCAACAGATACCAAGTAATTGTGGAAAGATACATAACCAAACAGGAGGGGGTTTAGGCAAAGGTTGCTCATGGATTTGCACAGGGCTCAGGCCTTTTCAGTGGGAAAGGGAAAAAGGAGAAATTCCAGGACAGAAATCACCCATACCCAGTTTCCCAGTTTCCAGAAAAAGGAGAAATTCCAGGACAGAAATCACCCAAACCCAGTTTCCTCTGAGAGGTAAGGGCATTCAGGTGAGTCTGTAGGATGACAGAGCTGCAGGAGGAGGAAAATGAGATTGTGTAGAGGAGCACAGCCTGTTGAAAGAAGCTACATCATGGGTGACCACATGTGTGTGCATGGGCATGCATGTGTCCTATGTGCTGGTGGAACGGCAAGGGTTAGGCTTCCTAGCTCTCTACAGTCAGTCAGAACAGTGTTGCAGTCACAGGCTGATGAGATGACTAAGAATCTTACTTGACAGGAAGTCCCTAGTCAAATCTTACTTCAGCTAAGAAGCCCCAAACTGATCTTACACTTGCTCAACCTGAGTTTCCCATCTGCAATGGAGGGTGGATTTTTTTTTTATTATTTTCGACCAATTAAAACAATGATTATTCCAAAGACATCAAACATACTACGTTGTAATCTTATTCTCTTTACAATTACTATATATTTCATCCCTAAATTTGATTCAATTTAACCAATGATAAAAAGTCCCAGGTTTGATAGTAGTATGTATCTTCTTTTTCCTTAAGAGATAAAGTCAGTCTGTCCATTTCTGCACAGTCCAGTATCTTCTTTAAAATCAGTTCTTCAGTTGGTAACTCTTCATTCCTCCAATATTGTGCAAATACCATCCTCGCTGCTGTTATTACATGTAAAGTCAAATATATGCTTTGTTTATCAAAGTCATCAGGGAGAATTCCTAGTAAAAATACTTCCGGTTTAAATATTACAGATTTTTTTTAAGTAGTACAGAGATGTGTAGTGCTTTGTGCATTCAAAAAGTTTTTCACAAATTTTCAGCAATAATTACTAGTCTTTAAACTGGCCATTCTTGGGGTATTTAAAGACCCATCTTTGTGCCCTGTGTTTCCCTCCAAATTAAAAGGTCTGTGAAGGGGCTAATAAGACATGAATGGCACTGAATCTGTGCATTAAGATGCCATCACTGCAAATCAGGTGGGGATCTGTGAAGCATGGAAGCGACAGGCAGACAGGCGATCTAATGCTGAATCCCTTTCTCATCCTCATATATCCCTCTCCCCACTATTTTCCACCAGTGATTTGGGGGTTTGAGACATAAACTCCATCAGAAGAAAAACAGCTTGGGGTAGAGATAGCAATAGGGAAACAAGCACGGGCAGGGGAAGAATTTCTTTCCTGGCCCTTTTGTGTTTGAAATGACCTTCCACATTTAGTTCAGGGGAAATTAACCTTGGCCCATGTTCAAAGGCACACATCTCTTAAGTGCCCTAGAATGTAATGATAGAAATGATCTATCTCGAAAATTAATTCTGAAGATATGCCAACCCTGGTTATTGGAGCAGTGGCTTTATATACAGTGCTGCAGTATCACCATATTCCCTTCCACCTGCCAAATGAATGTTATCAATTAGCAAAAAAACAAAAAACATGCCGGGTTTCTGTCTACCTATGTGTTCCTAGCCTTAGAAAAGTAAGTTTATGACAATACACTGCACTAACATCAGTATCTGGATTTCTCTTCAGTACTGACCAGAAAGCTGGGTTGCCTGGCATGGCAGACTCCTAGGGCCTACTTGCCTTGGGTTTGGGCATGGCTCCCCAAAATGGATGCCTAACTCAAGGGATGCATGCAGAAAATCTGGGAGGCAGCATATGAGGATAATCTGAGTGGGATTACAAACTAGGGTGCAAGACCGTGGGTGGCTTATACCATGAAAGCACAGAGATGGGACGCAATGAACTTTACCAAAGCCCGCCTGTTAGATTGCTGTGGTGGTGTATCTCATCCATGCCTAGAAGTAGGTCACTGGGCACCTGGAAATAGCCTGGCATAGATTAAAGGCAAAGAAAGAGCTACGGATGCCATATCTTAAATAACTTTTTCAGTGACTATCCACAAACTCTCACAAACCATACTAGAGTGTTTAAACCAAATAAGGGGCAGCAGGGTAGACATCTTGTTTATCTCAGTGTTAGTCAAGACACTACAAAATCAGACACACATGTAATTCTTAGTTATCCATGAAAATGCTTCAGGACTATGTGAATTAATCAACCCTTTTCTCTCCTTCCTTTTTGCAGAAGATAACATTGCCCCTTATCTTTGCCGTGTGTGTTGCTGTCATTGGATCCCTGCAATTTGGGTATAACACTGGAGTAATCAATGCTCCTGAGGAGGTAAGACAGTGAAGTTACTTTATGGGATTTAAGAGGATTCCACTGTTGTTGCAAAGTTAACTTGAAGGAGGATGAGAATCAGGAAAGTCATGAATGATACAGAGGACTGAAAAGGGTGCAGTCATGGAATGCAGATATGTCTTATTTTATAGAGATGCATGAAAAATAGAGAAACCACCTTCAGGGGAACACACTAATCCATGATATTAATGTAGTCCCAAGATTCATGAAAAGAATGAGGAAGAATTTTATTACCATTTTTTCCTGAAATGTGTTGTATATAGCAGCTTTATGTGAAGTTAACATTCAACAGGTGTGATTCCTCAGTAGCAATACCTGCTGGATCCCTGCCTGTCACACAGCTGCTGAAGACAATTAGTAAGTGCATCAATGCCTTCCCTGTTCTGTGTATGTAAAGGGGTTTTCCCCCCTTTTGAACTGTGTGGGAGTTGAAAATTACTTTGTGCTCCTGAGAAGGAACAAAGCTACTTTCTCATCTGTTGTAGGAAGTTGGAATGCTTATCATTCCTGACCTGTGCTTGTGAGGAAGGACCAAAAGTGGGGCACAATTTCTTTATGAACTTAGAATTATGCTAATTCATTGTTCCTAAAATTCGCAAGCCACACAAGGATTCTTGTGCCGATATCTGAGAGTCCAGACAGACCGGTAAGCTAAGCATGGGTTGTACATAAATGGTGGTGCTGAACCAACTATCCAAACCCAAGATTTGACATTTTTGCCTTATCAAATTCCTGAGTCATTGCTATTATTACTGGAAAGGTTTACGGAGAGGCCTTTCCAATCAATTAAATCATGGATTATTGTTTCATGTGAACCCTGAGCTATGATTTATCTATGTGTTGTTTACCACAGACAATCCAGGAAGAGACCCCATGGTCTCTTGCTGGTTTATGGAAGTTTGGTTTGTTAATGGTTAACAACTGACAATTAAACAGTAGTGCTGAGTGGTCTGCCCCAAATGGGCATTATGTTACTATGTTATGGTGCTCCCTAGGCTCAGCATTAGTAACTGCTCTTGTTTGTCCTCTGGGAATATGTTAGTAACTGTGCAGGTACTGTTGTCATGCCTTGAATAGTTACCCCTAAGAAGAGTCTCTAACTGGCTTACTGTAGTTATTCCTCAGTTTGAAAGAAAGTTCACTTGGGCTGGTTTTTTGTTACTGATCTGAAGGGCTGGCCTTCCATTCCAACACTCATCCTTCTACTACTAAGTACTGACCCTATATTTATTGTTTACTGTTCATATTATGTTTAAATAAAGATAAAGTTTTGCATTATGCAGGGATGCATTGGATGTAAGTTTAACTGCATGGATATATATTGGGCCAGAACACTGCATGGATATGTTTAATATGTGTTGAAGCCACAGCATAAGTTCACATGTAATGGCAACTCTCAATTCAACAAGAATCCACACTTAAACAACAACTCACAGTCAATCTGTGCTCTGGGTTATGATTATGTGCAAACCATGTATATGGATTAAACAAGGCAAAGTTAACCTAAAAACTAAGCATAGGTGAACTATGGGTTATTTAACCCATGATTAACTTATAACATTGATATTTGCATGTCACAAAGCAACCCACTGTTCCAGAGTATTAGAAGTTGCATTTTCAAAATCGCAGGAGCATTGGAAATTGCGGTTTAATTGATCCATGATTTGCTGCCATTACCTATGAACCTGCAAACAGGATCTTGCTTTAAATACTTCAGCTCTCTAATGCCACTTATCCTGTATGGTAGGGACTGTAACAGCTGTGCAAATGGACTAGTTTTCAAGGCAATTAGTGGGAAAATTCCTTATCAGGTTCATCACATGCAGAAAGTCTTCAGACTTGAGCTTGAGGTAGAGGGAAGCTTGAGGTAGAACTCAGAAGAGACATCTCCAGATGAGATCTTCTAATTGGTACTTTTCAGGCTGGTACAGTTTCAGCTCCTTTCCTTTTTGTAAGAGGAGTGCACCACCCTTGCTGTGCACACTGTCCACTCCTTGAAATAGGCTGGAAGAGCAGGAAGGAAGCAGCATTATGAAGACCTCTTTCTGCCACAAAGATCCCTCTGCACAGCTGCTGAGAGATGCTGAGCTGCAGTTGGGCAAACATTCACGTAGAGGTCCAATGCAGTAGTTAGACTACTGGCTGACAGTAAGCAGGCCCAGTTCAAGTAAGTTCCTTGAAGTTCCATGAAGCTCACCAGGAGGTTGGTTGAGAGAGAAACAATTGGAATGGAGAATTGTGTATATCATCTTGAGCTGAATGCAATAAACATACCCTTTAAGCCCCCGGATGCAGCAAACTGCCTTGCCCATTCCATCATCCATTCAGCTGCTCTGCCTGCTGAAGTGTACAGGCATTCACAAGTGCTTCCACAGCAGATGCTGGCAGGACCAGGGCTAGGAACGGGCAGAAGTTCTGGTCGCTCCTTCTCCTGCTCTTGTGGGTCAGTTTCAGGGCAAATCAGTGCTCTCCAGGTGGCACCTGACAACCTACATCAATTACATGGACTGTATTACAGGAATTTCTACACTGACCTTCAAACAAAGTTCCAGTGAGGTTTACAAAAATCAGAAGTACAATAAAAGCTATTAAAACATGCTGGAAATAAAAGCAGCAAATTTAAAGAGAGTATTGTAAAAGCAGCAGCAAATCAGATTAAAGGCCTGGGAAATCAAAAGATAGTTGCCTGACGTCAGAAAGACATTGCTCTATTGCCTTGGTAGTAGTATCCTGTAAAAGCTAGAATATTGTAGAGCACAGTTGGACCTGGGAGTCTGGACAATGCAGCCTATAAGAAATATTCCTGCTCTGGCTTCTAAACACAAAAGGGTGTCTCAGCATTGTTAGTTCCATAAAGGAAATTTTGTGGAGAGAGGGAGGACCGGGTGGAGGAGGAGAGAGTAGGTTTGAATCTTTGAATTAGGGTGGGATTCAACAGGATCGCAGGATCTTAGGTCTTAAGTAGATGAACACTATATTTTGGGGACAAGACTGGGAAAGGTGGAGGGATGGCCATCAGCAGTTGAGGGCAAGAAGCGTAAGCAGGAATGGAAGTTGCTGAGTCATAAGAACAGCTGGCTGAAGGAATCTGGGTGTGGGGCAGAGGGGAGATGCTGTATAATGGAGAGCCAAGAGAGACGTATTGTCTTTCTGCGGGAGAAGAGAAGGCCAAAAGGAGCAACTCCTGCCCCACCCCAGACTGTTCTCATGCAGCAAACTACTAGTTCTCCCTCTTACTGGTATGGTTTTCAGTTTTACCAGGCTTACCTAGGTATTCACATGTTTAACTCCCTTCTGTAGTCAAAGTAGAGTATTCTGGGGGAAGGCAGATGACTGGGGGAAATTCCCAGTAACATGCCTCAATCTTACACCATTAGATTACGAGAGAACCCGAGGAAGTGCGGGGGCTGGGTTCTTTGAAGGGTGACTCATGCATACCACATCCACCCAGGCTTCGGGAATTTCGATGTCATCACTACTCAGGCTTTCGGGAGGGGAGAAGGAGACGGCGAGCGAAGGAGCTCTGCTTGCTCTTTCATTAGGGTCCTCCTGCCACCTGGTGGTAGTACAGAACCTAGTACAGCTATGTCCCAACTTGTTCCGCAAATAAACTAATATGGGTGTTTACATGTTTGAAGAGGACAGTTCAGAGGCATAGGTGGCATGAGTGGATTTTGGTGGCTTTAATAGCTAGGAGTACATAAGAGGTTATTTCAGTTCAGTGAGCATCACTTTTCTCACTGCTGTATTTCTAGCTGTGCTAGCCCCCCCACCCCCTTGTAAGCTACTTGAATATAATGGAGGGTGGTCTTGTATGTCTCTGTTCTTAAATTCAGCTGTATTTTATAAGAAATTGTTTGGGTCACAGTACGTTTCATGAAAACCTGCCTGCAGCTACTTATATTCTCACCTGAATATTCCTGAAAATTAACCAAGAAGTCCAAACTTCCACCCTCACTTATGGTTTGAAAAGAAGAACCTAGAATTTCTGGGCATTTTACCAATTCTATTAATTTCTGTTGTTCCAGAAATCTTCTATTGCAGTTATAGAATATTTTTAAGCCTTTTAAGGACGGAACCCTTTGCAGGAGGTTTAGATAGGAAAACCTGCAACTTCCAGATTCCCCAATCAGTCATATGGATTGCACTCCAAAGCCACTGAAATTTTTGTAACTTTAAGAATAAGTGCCTCTGTTTACCTGCTTTCTCCTCTATCCCATTGTGTCATGTCTTTTTTATGTTCCAACAGGATTCTTTCTCAGATTTCCAAAATGTTCTTGAAGTATGTTCGTAATGATTAGAACATAAGTTAATGCTTCTGTGTTTTCTTTTCCTTTTGGGTCTCCATTTTACAGATTATCAAAGAGTTTTTCAATGACACATGGATAGAGCGGACCAAACAACCAATCTCCCGTACTCTCCTAACCTCGCTGTGGTCCCTCTCTGTGGCGATTTTCTCAGTGGGAGGGATGATTGGCTCTCTCTCTGTGGGACTTTTTGTCAACCGGTTTGGCAGGTATAGTAGAAACTCTGGTCTATTCAGAGGATTTTCCTTCTCTGTTCTGCAGCATAGGAAGGGAATGGGAGGAAATCATACCCTTTAGAAAACTGACTGGGAATTCCGTTCTGAAAAGTGAACTCATGAGAAATGCAAGCTTTGGAATTGCCAAGAGGCAAAATAATGTGGCTGGCTCAGCAGTGTGTTTGGCCTCCTTTATGGGCAGCAAAATGAAAGAAGGACAGACCTGTGCCATGGGGCCTGCAGTTTTTCTGCAAAGGAGGATGGTGTGGTGGTGGATTGTGTCCTGCATTAATGGGGAGGGGACATGTCCCTTGGGCCTTCTGCTTTGCATGTCAGCATTTTATGGGCCAGCCCTTGAGATATCTGTCACCCATGTGACTGTCTCCATTGTTTCTCTGTTAATCATGAATGATGTTTACTTCCTCAGGCGAAACTCTATGCTGCTGGTGAATATTCTGGCCATTGCAGGAGGTCTTTTGATGGGCTTCTCCAAACTGGCACGTGCAGTAGAGATGCTGATCATTGGCCGCTTCATTATTGGTGTCTTCTGTGGCCTCTGCACTGGCTTTGTGCCCATGTATATCAGCGAGGTCTCCCCCACTGCGCTGCGAGGGGCATTTGGCACACTGAACCAGCTGGGCATTGTCGTGGGCATCCTGGTGGCACAGGTAAGACTAACCTTTTCTGCAGCGGCGTCATTGCTTTGTGGCTTATTGGTATGGCTTGAAGGGAATTGGCACTGAGGCTGCAACCCTGTTTGCTCTGAGATTAAGGCTGGTTGTTCTCAAATAATGTCTGCATTGGCCATGCCAAAAAAATTAGCTGGATTTTTGATGAGCTCCTTGGTGGCAAGTGAGTGGCTTTTGGATTATAAAATGCCCTGCAGAGAGCTGTTGTATTCCTTGTTGACATTTTTTCAACTGAGTAGGGAAGAATGGTCAAAGAAACAGGATCCAGTTTCCACAGAACTGCACTAGTATTGGTGCCCATTCCTTCTTTGCTGCAGGATAGACACCTTTGGAGGGGGGTTTCAGGTCTCCAACAGAATTCACAGCTCCTCGGCAAACTACAGTTTTCAGGGTTCTTTGAAGGAAGTCAAGCCAAAATGAAATACTGCTAGTAATAATTGGATGTGTGTCTGTTTATTGATGAAACAATGCCATGACCGTGAAACTGAGATTCCTGAAATGTGGGGGTCGTACAGATGTGCTTGTTTGGTTATTTGGGTTTCAAAGAACAATCCTATAGCCTCCCAACATTACCTGAGACCATAGGATTATTTGGCGCTCCATCTCTGAGATCCTCAGACCTCTGAAACAGGACTCTGAAAGCCGAGCTTCCTTCCCCACTGAAAGAACTATGCCAGCTGCCTCTCTAGGCATGCAACTGGGCCTCAGAAAAGGAGAAAAGGGGTGTGCTGGGAAGAGGCAGGAAGGGGATGAGGCTGAGGCCAAGGCTTATGCTGACAGCTGTCAGCTCCTCTGCTCCCTCCTGCTCCCCAGTACAGCAATCAGATAGACAGCCATGCCTCATTGTATGCATTTGGCTATGCACAGTATCTGATGCAAAGCCTCCATGTTTGGATTTGCCCTGATTTAATGGAGATGTCCTGGGCCGCAGTACCATCTTCACTCAGCAAGTGGCAGACTACCCTAAGGACCAAAAAAAAGGACCAAAAATTGACTCCGTTGGAAGCTAGTGGGGACTAGTCTGAAAGATGGAGTTACACAGCTACCCCTCCCTACTACTGTGGAGTAGCCCCTTGCCCTGTGGAATAATGTGAGCAGACCCCAAATTGGATACCTGCATGATGTTCTTTGAGGGATTCAGTATCAAACCCTTGCCCACAATAATTTTATCTTTTCTCTCCATCAAATGTTGCAATTAGATCTTCGGCCTAGATGTCATCATGGGAAGTGAAAAGCTCTGGCCACTGTTGTTGGGATTTACCATTATCCCAGCTATTTTACAGTGTGCAGCTCTGCCATTCTGTCCTGAGAGCCCACGTTTCCTGCTCATCAACCAGATGAAGGAAGAGAGTGCGCATGCAGGTAGCCACCAGCTAAATACATTCCTGATGCCCCCTTATGCTTCTCTGCCAGCACATGTCTGTGGGTCAAGGCTACCTTATTTCATCTCTGTTGCCACTGGACAAGCTTCTGGCTTTATCATTTCTTCAGGAGCAGCTTGTAGCATTGTTAATTGCTGTTCCGCTGCAGGATAACAAGGGAATTGCACCTGACTTTCCATATTACTGGGTATATTTCTGCTTTTCTGGGTGTATATCCCACTATGTCTAGTCCATCTGGTTACCTATGGCATAGCTTTGTGGGAGAGAAGGAGAGGGCAGCTATAATTTTGGTTTTTCTTTATCTGATCAACCTTCGGTTAATCTTTCACTCAATTTTTGGTATAACACAAAGGGTACAATCACATTGCCACTGTGGCAGATCCCCAGAGACCTCCAAACTCCAAGGCTTATGAGCATCCAATGCAAGGAAGAAAACACAGTGGTGGTAATTGGGGGCACTGATTAGGAATCAGCATAATTCCTGTACTACCTCCAATTTAAGCAGCAGAAAAGCAGGAAAGGAATGCTCTTTTTGTGCTCAGATTTCAGTCCTGCACTGAAACTGAAAGTAGGTACAGGGGATTAATAGGATCATGTAGAAAAACTCAGTAACTGGATGTTGTCACCTAAATGCCCTGTAAAAAATGAGTGATATGTGGCAGTTTCTCAGTAAATGACTAGCTCTGGATTTAGATGTGGTCATACTTAGTTGGTAGATACCCTTGAAATCAATGAAATTTAACCAGGATGACTAAGTGTGAATCCATCCACTGGTGTGCAGTACCACAACTATACCGAATGCTGAGAACTATTGCTCATTAGGCTTGCCCCTCTCCAAATTCCTCGAAGTCTGTTTTCTCTAGAAGTTGAAAGATCTAGGACTGGATTCAAGTCTTTCATTTTGTGACCCCCAAAAATATTTCTCGTCTACATATCTCTGCGTATGAACATAAGAATCCAGAATGTTTCCTGGGCTTCTCGTAACATTGCCTCCAATAGTAGTGCCTTTGGGTGAATGCAGACATCGGGCAGATTGACCTGACCTGACAAGCCACAGTGGGCGGGGGGGGGGGGGTTACCATTGTTGGTCTCTTTAGAAACCCAAGTACAAAAACAATTATTTGTTCTATGGTTCCTCAGTACCATGGTGGCTTGTTGCGTAATCTGAACCTGGAAAACACAACTAGGTACAAAGGCTAGAACCAGATGATGCCTGGAGGACTGAGAAGGGAGGAGATGACGGAAGGGAGGAGAGTGCCACCATGAGCCTCACCATCTGTCGAACACATACTGATAAAAAATCAGCCTGTACAAGGATGCTTGTTGTGACATGTGGATTGTTAGGAAAGTGACTGGATTTTAGGGGAATAATTTTTTTTAGGAATTGATTCCTGTATCAGTGATGTTCTTGACCTGCCTTCAAATAAGTGCCTTCTGTACGGAGTCACAGATCAGCCAAGTCTAGGTTTAGACTTAGCCTGATCTTACCATATCAGTGCCATCTATGCACCTGGTACTTCATAGAATTTTACTAGCATAGAAGAGATGCTTTTGCCCAAAAGAGAGGCCGCTCAGTCCAAAAATTTCCCATGAGAAACGTGGCCGAGAAAGCAAAAAGTGGAAGGGATTCTAAGGGAGCGAGGGGCAAATGTGGGGATTTCATTCAGGGCTGATTCATCTCTAATTAAATGGAAGGATTAGAATAGTCTTCCCCAAATTGGTGCCTTCCAGATGTGTAAGATCACAGCTTCCATCATCCTGGGCATGATAGGAGTTCTAGTCCAACACATCTGGTGGGGAAGATTGAGCTAAAGCAAGAAATAGCACCTTGCTCTCCATCACCATAAAGATGTGTACCCTCAACTCAGGATAGAACTCTGCCTGAAAATAATCTCAGCATTAATTAGTAGTTAGAGATCAATGCCACATTACATTTATAGCCCACGTTTTCCTCTTGTTGAGGAACTTAAGTGGGGACTAGGTCTCAGATCTCTCAGGTCCCCAGTCCAGCACCACCCATGACACCAGTTTGGCTTTCCTTGAATATATATAATTCTGATCTTTAATGTTTTCTATCAGTTCTCCAGAAGCTTCGAGGCACCCAAGATGTATCCCGCGATATTCAAGAGATGAAAGACGAGAGTGCCAAGATGTTCCAAGAGAAGAAGGTGACCATTCCAGAGCTCTTCCGCTCCCCCAGCTACCGGCAGGCCATCATCATTGCCATCGTCCTCCAGCTCTCTCAGCAGCTCTCAGGCATCAATGCGGTAGGTGCCATCCCTGCTTAGCTTCCTGAGTCCCTTTCCCTTCCTGCTAGACCCTGGTGTGGTCAAGAGGGAAAGTGCCACGTGCTCAGTGGCTGGTGGTGTGGAAGGGCCAGGTTTGACCGGCCTTCCTTGGAACTTGGGAGGCTTTGCTTAATGTACCTGTAATGAGGAAGAAATGCCTGAACAGAACTACCATTTTGAAATAAGCACAATTTCAAAATGGTAGTTCTGTCCAGGCATTTCTTCCCCATGGTAGGAATGGGGCCGAGAAGAAGGGAAAGGCCGTACCTGCTGGCCTCACCCCATTGCCAAGTCCATGTCAGCCCTGCCCCCACGTGTTGGGGGTGCCTCTGAAAAGGGAAACCCACAGTAGGGTCTAAGCTCCTCCCTGCTTAGGACCATGGATCACCCTGCCTTCCCTGTCCCAGGTGAGCCTGCACACAAGCAGCGGACTTGCCTTGACAGATAAGCCCTGCCCCCAGCGGCAGAGTTGGAGTGGTCAATGGGGGAAGCCTCCTCCCCCCCCTCCCCTCCGCACAAGTACTCTGGCATGGAAGGAGTGCCAGGTAAGCCTTAGGACCAAACGTGATGTGGTCCCCAGCACTGAACACACCTTCCGCATCATTCTCTGCCACCAGGTGTTCTATTATTCAACCGGGATCTTCAGAGAAGCTGGAGTGGGACAGCCGGTGTACGCCACCATTGGCGCTGGCGTGGTCAATACCATCTTCACTGTGGTATCGGTAAGTAGTACTGGGCAGCAAGGTGTGGCATGAATGCCTTTTATGGATGAACCAGAAGCTCCCCAAAAGCTGCAGCCACGTGTTTTGTCACCCTCTTCATGTCGACTGTGCACGATTGTAGTTGTTCAAGGAGCTTTCAATTCCTTCTGCCACAGGAACTTGCTTGCTTCTTCTGCCTTTACTCTGAATGTGCTGACCTGAAGCTAAAGCAGCATGAGGGCAGAGAGCATGCCTAGGAAGTGGAGGTTGCCAATAGGCAGACAAAACTATCAGCCCCGTATCATTTTTCTCCATCCCCCCACAACTCCAAATGTGGGGAGTGCACCTTGAGAAAGACTTAACCACAGTGATTTGAGACACCTAACAATAAAGATTCGGGCTCTGACCTTTAGGGAATTTAAACTGCAGTCCTTTATCTGCTCAGGAGAGAGTAAGCCTCACTGAATGTGATTGGGCTGCTCTTAGTCTTGTGGGTAGAAGGGAGAGCCCCGCTGCTGCTCCTAAAAGCAACATTTTATTTTATTATCTATTTTGTTCTCCCTAATTTTTCAGCTCTTCCTTGTGGAACGTGCAGGGCGCAGAACTCTCCATTTAATCGGCTTAGGAGGCATGGCGGCCTGTGCGGCCCTTATGACCATGGCCGCGCTGTTAAAGGTAAGCTGTGACATTCCTTCTTCCTTCTGTGATATCAAAGTGACCAGGTTTTCAGATAACAGCAGCAAATCATGGTTCATTTAACCCAGGATTTGGCAGGCTTGTCTGTAACTGCCATTCTGAATATACAACTTCTAATCAGCTCAGACCTGGACACTATGAATTTAAATAACCCAAAGTTAGCTTAATCATAGATTAAGAGCAAATAATAATAGTTTACATTTGTAGAAAGGCCCTTGGTGTGGTTCAGTGTTAGAAAAACTATATTCAGACCTTTACAGTTAACTGGACCAATGGAGAAGTTGTTTGAGTTGTTGCTTTCTAGCAGCACACGTTCTTTTTCAGAAAATGGGACTAACAGTAAGGATGAAGCAGATAAAGACTATGTCTACAGGGCCATACGACTTTCCATACAAGTCGGAAAACATCTCTGACTTGAATGGGGGGAATTGTGCTTGAATTTCCTTCCATGCCCCAGTGTGCAGTGCTTTGCCAGGACTAGGTTTATTAGGTCTGGGCTCCTCTGTGTTAATGTGCTAAATTCAGTTAATTCTCAATGTCTTTATTGCAGGCTACTGTGACTTGGATGAGCTACATCAGCGTTATTACTACATTTGCTTTTGTGGCCCTGTTTGAAATTGGCCCGGGCCCAATCCCCTGGTTTATTGTCTCGGAACTCTTCAGTCAGGGTCCTCGTCCAGCAGCTGTGGCGGTGGCTGGTTGCTCCAACTGGTCATCCAATTTCCTGGTGGCCATGCTCTTTCCCTATGCAGCGGTAAGAACCTACTTATCTGTATCCTGCTGGTGAGCATGCTCACTATTGAGCAACACTGCACTCTGCCTACAGGGGCTTACAGTGAACAAGTTACCTCCCTTCCCGAGGCTCTAGCAGTCTGAAATTTATCAGAAAAAGGAAAGGTGTAGGACAAACAAGGGCATAAAGAGATAAATGGAAGCAAATTTACTTAATGTGTACTGAGACGTCATCATAGTTGAGAATGCTTACGGAAGTTAAGCAAGGATGTCGTGACAGAGAAGGGATTTAAGAACAGATCTGGAGGGTTGCATTTACTAAAATTGCTTCATCCAGATGTAAAGGTATGTTTGAAAAGTCCCCAGTGGAAGAGTTATCCTTGTAACTTCTAGTTTAATGTGGACCCTTATGTTAAATCAGGCGGAGGAGGTGACAGATGCAGTCACTGGGACTTGGGCTGTACAGATTCATGAAATCTGAGCGTTGGGAGAAGGGGGTCAGGCTGGGTTGCCTACTTACCTTCTGCTTAGTGAGGCCAACTTGAGAGAAAGCCCTTTGCTTCTCCCGGTGAAGCACCGAGAGGTATAGGTCCTACAAGTAGGTCATAGTCCACCTCCTATGAGATGGAGTGTGATGACTTTGTCTGTAAGCTGCTCCAACTAACGGGAAGGCCTTCTGAGATGGGTCACTTGACAGGATATGTGGTGTGGCCACACCACAGCATGAGGCAAAGTAATGTATGAGTGCTGTAAGAAACATTTGCACCCTGCTAGGGTCCTGTCCTTTGTGCCCGCTAAGTGTGACCATGATTTGTGACTCCGGCACTTGCAGGCTATAGCCATGTTGTAACTTTCAGTCCGGTTACCTTGGAAGTTGGAATAATCCTTTTTTTTTTCTTCTTTGCAGAATGCATTTCCTAAGTATGTTTTCCTTGTCTTTCTTGGGTTCCTCATTTTCTTCTTCATCTTCACCTACTTTAAAGTCCCTGAGACAAAAGGCCGGACTTTTGAAGACATCTCCAGTGCCTTTGAAAGGCAAACAGAAGATGGTGTTGTCTCACCCACTGTTGAGAAGAGCCCGATGGTAGAACTGACTAGCGTTCAGCCTACTAAGGATGCTGATGCCAATATTTAATATGCTCCATTTTTGACGCTTGTCTCTGAGGATAACCCTTATAAGGAACACACAATGACACTGTTCTCATTGCTGCTGTTTCTTCTTTCTCCCTCTGCCTTCCTTGTGTTTGCCAAAATGATTTCAAAGCACTGAATCCAGTTAAATGCAGGGCAGCCTTACCTATTTCCAACAATGGAAGGCATTATGGCAAAGCTAATCTCACCTTGCTCCCCCTTCCTGCTTCGCATTAAAGACACCTGAGAAATACTGTTGATTTCTCTCTCTCCCCCTCTCTGCCTTTACTCCTTTCATAATGAATTGATACATGGGGCTAACCTATTTATTTGTGCATTGGTCATGTACAGCACTAAAATGGATTACTTTGACATAGATGAGCTCATAACTCCTTTTGATTCGTCACTTGTTAGAATCTTTTCATCAGTGCAGCTATGGAGAAAGAGTGTTTAAAACACTGGGTTTAACTTAAACCAAGCTGGTGGGAACAGTCATTTATTTTTTCAAATGAGAGTTTCCTTCATCTTTGGAAAAAATGGATAGAAATACAAAATATTTTTCTTTTTTGTACAATCCAAAAATATTTACTGGAATTTATTTATTCCTTTATTATGTTGCGTGTAAATATTTAATTTTATGTAAAAAATATCCTCTTATGTATATATGAGCCGGAAAATACGTTTTAAGATAAAGAGGTATTTTAAGAGATGAGAATGCACTATAACTATAAAGGAATTTTGATGGTAGGCAGTAGAATACCAAAGAAAAGTCACTCTGCACAGGTATGTGACCCTGACTGGGTTAAGGCTAATCATGCCTTCAGGAAAACAGCCCTGGAGAAAAGGATCTCATTTTTCTGTTTACCAGAATGTTGGGTGTGTTGAATGCGCATCCTTAAGTATTACTTGAAAATTATGATGTTAAAAGGGGCATTGTGACTTGGCACATTCAGTCATTATTCCTATTCACAGATTAAAGACTGTGGGCCATTTTTTTGTAGTGGCTTGTGAAGACATGAGTGAACCCTCTTTAGCTAGCTATGTGTTAGTATGATATAGGAAGGGGAATATACGGAACTATTTCAAGGGCAACTCTTAAATGAGGAGGACATGCCTCTCATATTCTGCCAGGCTGCCACTCTGTGAGAGCTAAAGCGTTTTGGGCCAGCTCTGGTGGTCTCTTGGTTATTTTCACAACATTCCTGAAGATGATGTCATTCCATATCAGTTCTTCATGCATATTAAGGCCCCAGGTACATGCTCTTGTCTTCTAAGGAAACTATAGGGTAGTGAGTGGTTATTTTGAGTTGCAAGATGACTTAGGCCTAGTATTTCTTATGCTCCTTTTGTTTGAGAGACTAAACAAAGTTTGAAAATAGAGTAAAAGTGAAACTAAACTAGTTTTCCAAATGTATTTTTGTAATCCATTATTACAGTATTAGATAAAAGCATAAGATCATTTCTTGATAAGAAAAATGCTCAGCTAAGGCTAGAAATGTTGGAATGAAGGAATAGAGACAAAGGGTACTAAAACTCAATCCTTACAAAATAAAAATGATCTAAACCCATTGTATCTGAATAGCCAGAAGAGAATGCATGTGAACCATCATGAATGTAGATAACAAGGATTTCTTTTGGCTAATTTTATTGTATATATTATCAGCATTGTCAATAGGGTATTTTCTTATAGCTGCAAAAATACAAAGTATTTTAATAGTGTGTGTGTGTGTGTGTGTGTGTGTGTGTGTGTGTGTGTGTGTGTGAACAAATGCATTCCATTAGAAGGCAAAAGAGCAGCCTCTGTGCATTATGGTCTCCTCTCTTGTTCATACTCAGTGTGGAAATGGGAAGGTGTGTTGAGTCCATGGGCATATCTACACCATAAACCTGATCAAATGGTACTGTCTCTCCCCTTTCCAGGGACCCTGGGAACTGTACATCTGAAGTTCTGTAATAGACAATATTCGGCACCATTGTCAAAGTACAGCTCTGAGAGTTCTTTGGCGAATGCCAGGCAAATAAGTGGCATACAGTGAATTTCATTTGGTAGTGTAGATAGGGCAAGTGCTGCTGCTGCTATGACCTTTTGTTCAGCATCGAATTGTGTGATTTCACTTTGTGATCCCTCATTTAAGTAGTTGGGAGGACCTGCAGGAAGAGATCCCTTTGTGGTCCTGCCTATGGCCCTGAAGGATTGCTGGCACCCATCGCTTAGTTTCACATGAATAACTCTTCCAGAACCACTGAGTCACTGGAAGCAAAATAGAACAGTGATTAAAATTGGAAATGGAACATTTAGCAGCTGTTACATGCCAGTTCAAATTGATATTTGTTAACTGACTTCATATTGCTCCCTTTTTCTGCTCATCCCATTAGATAAAGCAGTATTTGTCTAGAGAGAGTTGGGGGCTGCAGCAGGATTTTTATCAGGCTGAAGCATTTAGGCATATTTTCAGAAACTGGTTGTACAAATTTCTCTGCATCATAAATTTAAAATATTTGGCTTGCAATAAGGATATCAAAAATATTCTAGTAAGATATGATTCTGGTTACACTCTGAAAATACTCCTTTTGCTTAATGCCCACTGTAGCTCACACCCAGTCTCCATCACTGGATCCTTGGAATTTATATTTTTGCAGAGATGAAATTGTATTTGTCTTTGGAAGGAAAAAACAACATATTCATCTATAAGGTACCACAATACTAATTTTTAATGGCTTTAGCATTTGTGAACCCAGCACACTTCAGTGGAGGCATCTTTCGAACTTCAAGTTCCCATTGTTTAGCTCACCTGGAACAAATTACTTTGACTCCGTTTCCCAAGATTTTAATAGCTGAATGTTAGCATCTACTGTGAAGCAAAGTATTTTCTGCATGGGTGCAACAGCATTCTATACCTTGCGTCCCACACTTATGTGCAATGCCTCAGATTGAAATATGTGTCTCATTCTTTTTGTTGTCTGTGCTGTAAAGATTTCCAGTTGGTTTTATAAGTTTTCTTATTGTGAATGTGTTTTTCTTAATAAAATAATAAATGGTTTGGATGGAAAATTACATATGCATGTCTCTTTCTAATTCAGAACATTGTAATTTTGTCCCACATTTATAAGACTCCTTCAGCAAATGGCAGGGAGCACATCTATACTACCACTTTTTCATGTAAATTCAGACTCCAGGTCTCTACATAACCGTTTAGGCCTCTTCTCTGCTTCTTTTCTTACCTCCTTGAGTCCCCATCGAGCCCCCTGGCTGCACCATCACAGGGGAAGCATGCCCTGCACCCACGTCCCCTTGGACAAGGGACCATACGACACCACCAGGCTTCTTCGTTCAGCCTGCAGGGTTAGCTCAGCAGAAGCAGGGAGCCGGCATAACACTGGGGTGAGAGTGTCTGCTAAGATCCAGGAAGGAAGATTCAGTTTAAAAATATGTACTTCGGAAGCTCACTGGAAGACTGAGAGACAATTACTACTCTCTTGGCCAAAGTAACCTCATCCTCATAAAAATTGTGAAGATAAGGGGTGTGGGGGTGGGGGCAGAGGCAGAATGTTGAGCTCCTCAAAGGAAAGATGTGATGAAATTAATCCATGTGCCTTCATGGTAATGAAAAGTGGAGCTGAGAGACATTGTGGATGCCACTTGCCAGGCTGAGGATGTCTCTGCTGGTTGGCTCCATGGCATGCGCATGGTTTTGGTCACAGGTTGCTTGCCCACTGAGGACTAATCTTTTACACTCCCAAGGCAGAAACATCACACAGGCAGAGAAGTAGACTGTCAATCTGCATAATCAATGTTACTTGATTACGATAATAAAAAGCAAAAACAACATTTTCATTAAAGAACTTGTCTTTTCTCTAGAGCAGCCTTTCTCAAGCAAGGTCATCTGGGGTTCCACTGGAGTTTGTGGGAGCATGCACACATGCACACTCTTTCACAATTAGACATCTGCGTGTTTATAATATAAACACAAGTCAAACTGATCATGTCAATAATCTTAATAGATTAATAATTATTACAGTATACTTGTATATCCTTCCCTTGCTCCTCCCCTAGCTCCATGGGAAGGAGGATGAGGGTATCCTTTAAGTTCAGTGTGGAGTGAGACAAAACTTCTGACCGGCTGCTAGCTGCTGCTGGTCAAGACCTCTGAACCACTTCTCATAACTGGGGGTGTAATTGTTCACATGCCTCTGTATGGAGTTGTATGTGTCGTGTGGGGTGGGAACCACCTCCCACTCAATGGAATAGTTCACCATCACACTACGCTCCTGATTGAGATCGGTGCCAGAGGTGAAACGGCTCACTCCCTGCTTGTAATTCATGGGAATGCCTTAGTACCAATGTCGGTGATGTCATTGAGGAGGTGATCCTCCATGTGCGGGTTTTTTTGTTTTTTTTGACCCATATGGGCTTCATGTAAATGACATGCTGATTGTGCCACATCATTCTGGGCCAGAGAGGGATCATGCCCTTTGGTGTGCCTGTACTACCCTACCTCTGTCGTCACATAGGACCGAATGTGGTCAGTGGGGTTGATGCTCCCAGCCGTGTGTATTGGAAACGTGCGGGAGATTATTGTATGGCAAGGAGTTAGGTTTGACATGTCTCATTTCCCCTCATATTGCCCTTATCAAGTATGTTGAGTCTTCAGATATACAATGGAATTATTTATTTATTTATTTATTATTTATTTGGAATTCTTATATGCCGCCCCCTTCGCATAAGCCTTGGTGCGGCTTCCAACAAATAAATATCAATACAAATACATAAAAATTGGAAACATCCTGGCAAATAATATAAAACCAATAAATAATCAGCAGTTAATTAAAATAACTTTTAAATAAAAAGGTCTTGGCGTGGTGCCGAAAAACAAATAATGACGGTGCCAGGCGGACCTCTCTGGGGAGCGCATTCCATAAGTGGGGCGCCACTGCAGAGAAGGCCCTCCTCCAGGTACTCACCCTCCTAATATCTCTCACAGAGGGTTCCCAGAGAAGAGCCTCGGAGGCCAAACTCAAGGGGCAGGAGGGCAGATATGGATGCAGGCGCTCCTTTAGATAACCAGGTCCCAAGCCGTTAAGGGCTTTGTAGGTGATAACTAGCACCTTGAATTGGGCTGCGACTTTGATGGGAAGCCTGTGAAGCTGACGGAGGACTGGGGTTATATGAGAACAATGCCCAGTCCCCATCAGCAACCTGGCAGCTCTATTTTGCACCATCTGAAGTATCCGGACCATCTTCAAGGGCAGCCCCATGTAGAGCACGTTACAGAAATCTAATAGGGAAATAACCAATGCATGTGTCACTGTTGCCAGGCAATTGTTCTCCAGGTAGGGATGCAGCTGATGGATCAGCCGAAGCTTAAGGAAAGTGCTCCTTGCCACCGCTGTCACCTGAGCTTCCAACAACAGTTCTGGGTCAAGGAGCACTCCCAAGCTGCGGACCCTGTCCCTAAGAGGGAGTGCTACCCCATTCGAGACAAAGTCCAGGTCCCCTACACTGAAGTCAGAACCGCCTACCAACAGGACCTCCGTCTTGTCTGGATTGAGCTTCAGTTTATTGGCCCTCATCCAGCCCATTACCTCAGCCAGGCAGCGGTTCAGTATAGCCACTGCCTCACCTGGATTGGTTGAGAAAGAGAGGTAGAGCTGGGTATCATCAGTGTCCTGATGATTCCGCAGCCCACAACTCTTAATGACCTCTCCCAGCAGTTTCATGTAGATGTTAAATAGCAAGCAGGACAAAATGGATCCCTGCGGAACTCCATGGCATAGCTGCCATGGCGCAGAGCCATAGTCCCCCAACACCACTTTCTGGAATCGGCTAGCCTATCCTAGCCAACTCCCAATCCTGCTAGCCTATCCAGAAGGATATCATGGTCGATGGTATCGAAAGCTGCTGAGAGGTCCAGGAGGACCAACAGGGACGCACTCCCCCTGTCTCTCTCCCTGTACAGGTCATCATTCAGCGCGACCAAGGCAGATTCAGTACCATACCCGGATCTGAAGCCAGACTGAAATGGGTCCAGATAATCAGTTTCATCCAAGAGTGCTTGGAGTTGTCCCGCCGCCACCCACTCTAACACCTTGCCCAAGAATGGGATGTTGGCCACCGGTCTATAGTTGGTGGCCATCTCTGGATCCAGGGATGCCTTCTTTAGAGGGGCAGGTAGCCGGCCGTCCCTCAGAGAGGCGTTGACAACCTCCAGGATCCAGGCCACTATCCCATGCTTAGCTTTGTTAAGTAACCAAGATGGGCAAGGGTCCCATAAGCAGGTGGTGGGACGTACTTGTCCAAGCACCTTGTCCACATCATCAGGCTGCAATAACTGGAACTCATCCATCAAGTTTGGACCAGACGGCAACATTGGCACCTCCCCTAAAGGCTCTGAGTCACTAGTGGAGTCCAACTCGTGACGAATCTGAGCGATTTTCTCCTTAAAATGCTTGGCAAAGTCATCACAGTGGGCTGTCAAGGGTGGTACAGGGTCTTTCTTGGGGCTCAGATGAACCAGTCCTTGTACCACCCGAAAGAGCTCTGCTGGACAGCATTGTGAGGAGGCAATGGAAGGGGAGAAGAATTTCTTTTTCGCCGCCCTCACTGCCACAGCATAGGCTCGATAATGAGCTCTCAAGTGTGTTCGGTCAGATAAATCCCGTGATTTCCTCCACCTATGCTCTAGACGTCTCCCAACCCGCTTCATTACCCATAATTCAGGTGTATACCAGGGGGATGAACAGGCTCTGCCAGGCGGGAGAGGATGCTTAGGAGCGATCCTGTCAATAGCCCTGGTCATTTCCCTATTCCACAGTTCAACCAGAGCATCGACAGGAGCACCAGCCTTATCAACTGGAAATTCCCCCAGAGCCTTCAGGAATCCATCCGGATCCAGGGGCAGACCAACACAATCAGGTCTGCACCCTTACAGAGGGAAAGGCCACTCTTGAGCGCAAACCTCACGAGGAAGTGATCTGACCATGACAAGGGAGTCAGACATAAATTCCTCACCCTCAGATCCCCCTCTTCCTGCCCTGTCGAGAAAACCAGGTCCAGAGTGTGTCCATGTTCATGGGTCGGGCCAATGACATGTTGTGACAGCCCCATGGTCATCATGGAGGCCATGAAGTCCTGAGCCGCCCCGGTCAGAACAGTCTCGGCACGGAGAATGAAGTCCCCCAGGACCAGTATCTGGGGGGTCTTCAACACCAGGTCTGAGATTATCTCCGTCAGCTCAGGCAGGGAGTCTGTTGGGCAGAAGGGTGCACGGTACACCAGCAGAATCCCCAATCTGTCTCGGTTGCCCAACACCAAATAGAGGCACTCTAGACCCGGCTTCGAGAGAACAGGAAGCCCCGGGAGGGAGATGGAAGCTCGGTAAACTAATGCAACCCCCCCTCCCCTCCCCTCCCCTCCCCTCCAGGCATGGTTGGTGCTGGACCAGATACCTGGGCAGGCACAGTTGAGAGAGGGAGACATTCCCCCCCCCCCCCCAGGTCTCTGTGATGCAAGCCAGGTTGGCCCCCTCATCCACAATCAAATCATGGATGAGGGATGATTTATTATGGACTGACCTGGCATTAAGCAACAGAACCGACAGGCCCTGGGGGTGGTTGATAAGCCTACCTGGAACCCTCCGGCTGGGGGAATAACCAGAAGGGGGAACAGGTGTCAACCATCTGTCCCTCCTTCTTCTACATCGACTCTTAAACCCCCAACACCATAACGTCCATTGCCCATGACCACCCCAATGGCAGCGCCCATGCACTCCCCAGGCAACCTCATAACTGTGGCCAAGGATGAATCCATTAAAAAATTAGGCTAAAATACAAGTTAAAACCCTTAAAAACTCCCCAACCACCCCATACAAATTACGAATTCCAACCACCCAACCAACCAACCAAGTCCCTGGCCAGCCCAGCCCCCGCACGGCCCCAAATGGCGACGACTCCCTTAGGCCAACGCCCTTCAGCCGCCGGCCCCAGCCGCATACAGCGAGTTATGTGTTTTGTTTTTCATATATTGTTTTACATTCCCCTTGCCAGAAGGGAGTGCTGTGCCCCAGGTGTAGAGCATTCGGGAGGATCCTAGATTAGCTATCTGGAGTTGTTTACCCTGTGTTGGCTCAGGGGCCAGGGGCCAGGCGTGCATAGAATGGAGGTTTGTGAGCCAGATGCACTCAATTACTCCATTATAAAACCAGTGGGTTGAGAGCTTGAGGTGGAGAGCTTCTACATGGATCAGGTACTGGATGCTGTGTGATTGATGGCCTGCGGTCTCTCTCGCTGCCCAACCGGGGTTCCTGGCAGCTGAAGGGGAGAAGATACTCTTGCAAGGTATAAATACTGTTTTGTTTGCCTGCAGATACTATCATTGCTTAAATAAAGCATTGCTTTTCCTTCACCTACTGGTGTGTTCATTGCCTCCAAATCCAAAAGAACCCCTGCCTTTGGCAGAACACTGTGGACATGCTTGTTGTGAGAGATGCCCCCCACCCCCCCAGTGTCCTCCTGCAGGATGTTCTTATCCACATTGTTGACCACACCTGTCTTCAGGATTGTAGGTTTGCATCAGAAAAGGTGCATCCAAAAGATATCCATGCCCATGTGGATCCAGCAGGAGGCGGGGAAGAAAGAAAGCTCACTGTGGCTGGTTGGCACTCAATGGCAACCTATTTATCCCATGACCCCTCCCACGAGAATGAAGTTAACACAGTCTCTACAGTGTTGAGACTGCAATCTTGTGTCACACACAAATGCATTTATGGGAGAAGTAGGAGCTTGAGAAGTGATACATGCAAATAATCCTTTAGAAGCATACTTTTTTTGTAATATGTGCAGATATGTGAAAGAATAACCAGGTGGTTTAGATACTGTATGAGACAGCACTGCACAGTTAGGAGTTGCTTTAGAACATTCCAGATGGTGAGGGGAATGAGAGATGTTAAGGGGGACAGTCAGTATCCCCATATTACTAATGATTCCATCTCAGTAGTGAATAGTTTTCATAATAGCAAGTGGGAGGCCTGCTCTCCTGTGGCGTGCTGTAGTGATGGCGAGAGAACCTCCTGGAGAGGCCGAGGTCAGTTGGTACAGAGGAGATCTATATTTTTGTGAGGAGGGCTCCCAAGGTAGCTGAGAGCATGATTTCAGTGAAAAATATTCCCATTCCTGAACATCTGATGCTGAACCAAAGCAGTGAATATTATCAGGTGAATTTTATTCTTGTGGGAGTTGTAGTTTCTCCAGAACTGGCTCAGCATTGGCACTGAAAGACCAGTTTCACACCATTGGTCCAAGCAGACGATGGCTGCAGCTGCTGATACAAGGGCTGGTACTCCCGATACCAGGACAGTCACCGTGAAATCATCTCATGATGTTTCCCACTGGAAGAAGTTAAGAGCTGTAGCCATTAAAACATATATTATTACTGCAGATAAAGCCCAGGTCCGTAAGCAGAAGCCAGCTGAACTGGGCCAAGTCTGCCTTTTGTTCACAGTTCCCATGGAGCGTTGCTGTTCTGTTTCTCCTGGCCTACCCAATGGCAGCCTGGTGGCACACACAGGCACAGCACTCGTTCCAAGACAGAAGTCGGTCAGCCTGCCTTTCAGTCAATCGTATTTTCCAGCCACAGCACATACACTTTTTAAAGAAGTCCACGAGAAGAGAAATAAAGATTCATCTGTTCATTATCCTGGGAGGGGACACAGATTTTTTTATTTTTTATTAACCATAAGGACAGAGAACATTTCAAATGCCATTTCATTCTGTGATGAATGAAAAGAAATGGAGAGGCAGGTGGAATCTACAACGGAGATAGGTGGGTCTCTGGCCTAAGTTTGTTTAGCTTCAAATTACTGTTCTGCACAGATACAGAACCCATATGTGGGACTCACATAGATCAAGAAGAACTACTTAAGAAGTATGCACCCACTCTAGCATTTCAGAAGTGTCTTTATATAAGAACATGCCCATGCGTAAACAAATTATTTTTATTACTGATGGGGTGCTGTGAATCATTTTGTATTTTGCCTCTTCTTTTCACTGAAACAATACCTCCGTAAGTGAAGCAAAGAATGGCGCAACAAACTATATAACCTTTAGTTACAAAACAATATTTTTAATGTGGACACCAGTGTATGCATAGAATCAAGATCAGTTACACATTCTTTGTACCAGAGTGAAATGTAGAAAAAATAGAAATACAGAGTCAGAATTGCACAGCTTTATGACATTTCTACACAAAAATTACTTATCTTTCTGAAGTGAAAATTAAATTTCAACATGATCCCCAGCTGAGTGTATCCGAAGTACTCTGTTTTAGTGGAACTTTGTCCCTCTACATAACTCACACATTTTAAACCATGTCCTTCATATAACATGGGTTGTAAATTTAACTGCCTGTATGGTAATCTGGACACTTTTACATTACAGTCTATTTTTGCTAAAATAAAAGCTTCAATAGTTATTTTTTCCATTTGCTACATTACTTTTGAAACAGTAGCTTATATCTGAGTGAGAGAATGAGACTTAAAGTGCTTTATTATAAGTTTGCATTTATTCCTAAGATGTCACACACAAACATTGGCAAGGGTGATATACTCACATGCTTTTCTTTGGCCTTCATTACTTTTGCTTCAAAGTAAGCACATTTCTTTTTCTCCTAGGGAAGGTTTTTCCCCATCTCTTTTTTGATTTTGTACATGTTTTTCTCACTAGTGCAAAGTGTAGAAATAAAATGGTAGCTGGCTATAATTTGTTTGTTTCAGTAAAATTACACATATTTCCTTCCTATTTAAAATTATTTTTGCAACAAACACAGTTAAAGCAATCATTAATTTAAAGCAGGATTTGTTATTTTCTTTAAAGACCCAGCAGTTACTGAGATATTCATCTGGGTCATGCAAATACTACGTGTTTTTCCTTTTTGCTTCTGCTTCCCTGCGCCTAACACATGAAGCTGGACAAAGGGTCTATAGCAAGTGCACATGACAACTTGTGGCAAGTGTGTAGTTTGTTTTCATTAAACACATTTCTGCTGGTCAATGAGAGGCTAGAAAAGTAAGGCCTTTTTCTTTAGCTCATTCCGTTTCCAAAGTGCAAGCCGTTCAAATTGTTCGATGCTCATTTTGAACACTTCCTGGAACTCTTCAGGGGACAGGTGCCGCTGGAAGAAGAAAGGAAAAGAAACAAAAGTGGTACTTGTAAAATAAATGTCATCCTATTTATATACTGTACAAGAAATAAATATGTGAAGATTTGTATCAAATTCACAACATCTTTTTGGAAGCATCTATATAAGAAAATGTATATAAAATTTTCAGTTAAACTCCTTCAGAGGTCTTGAGTTCCTGCACTAAAGTAGTACCAACTTAATACTGCAGCAGAAATGAGAGACACAAGAATGCTGTGCAGCACAGCATCTCCATCTCCATGTCTCTGACATTGCTCCATTTCAAACTTTCACCCCCACCAGCAGCAGCCAACAATGCAGCAGAGGTTTGGGAAAATGCACAATAGTTTGCATACAAAGATGCTTTGGCTTAGGAAGCAATTCACTCCTCCCATTTTAGAACACCATTTCCCTCTTTCCTCTTCCCCATTACGGCATTCTGTGCCCTCCTTGCAAGGCCTTCTGGAGGGACAGGGGATATTTCCGAACAACACTGGGCAGATGCAGCCCAGTTACTAAGGAGCCCAATCCTCAAGACAGGCTTTCTGGGAGAGGGGAGGCAATGGTTGAAGGGAGAAAGAGGGGCACTTCTTAAAGCCACTTAGTTTTAGGATCCAAGCCAGTGTGAGATACCATTTAAGAAACTGCACACAAAGAGGAAGGAAAGAGGGGACTGGGATGCTTTTTCTAACCCCCACTCCAGCCCTATCTAGGCATTCATTGACTTGCACAAAGAACTAAGCTATTTAGGAGGCGATGGGCACACACACTCCAGCATCCCTGTGCGCCGCACTTCCATGTTCCACACAAGCCTGTTCAGCTGAATATAATCTCTAAGCCCCCTTATTAAATATTCTTATATAAGAATCTAATTCAGAGCGCCATGCATGATGAGTGGAGGTCTGCACAGAAGTTCAGCAGGCAGGAGAGAGAGGTCCTGCTTTTTTCCCTGCACGGAACCCAAGGTGGCTTACACACTCCTCTTCTGCTTCATTTTATCTGCTCAACAGTCTGTGACTGGTCCAAAGCTGTCCAGCAAGTTTCATGGTTGAATGGGGACTAGAACTGCATCTCCAAAGTCTCAGGCTTACATAGTAACTATTTCACCATAATGGCTCTGATGCACATCTGTGTCCCTCTATATACTTCTGTGCTATGCATAACCAGGCACAAGCCTGTGATGGGGCTGAACTAAACTGAGCTGTTACATGCTAAAAAGAGAAAAAGAGAGCAATAGCATTGGAAAGAACCAAGTAAAAACAAAACCAGAAAGCAATGCACAGGGAAGAAAGAAAACGACATAAAGAAACAGTGTGGATTAGAGTATACAGTAAAGTCAGTAGAGAAGACAGGGTCACGAATTTGAGAAATTGGATATCACAGAAGAAGGCCTTGTCCCATCTCAGCAGTCGGCACTTCTGATGATGGGGAAATCAAACAACTCAGCGGGTGGGCAAAAGCGGGTGGGAAACTGCAGTGCTTTAACTATCCTGTTCCTAAATAGTGGAGGGCTGCAAGTGTAAAACATTAACATTTAACGGGCAAGCTCTAAAAAAAGGAAAGTCAACTCAGCAGAAGGTGGAGTTATTATTGCAGGGAAAGCAGCAATCATGCAACAGAAACTGTTGCATAATCTTCCTCCTTACTAATTCTAAACAAATTTTCCTCCTTAGTTTCCATCCTTAGCAGGGGTTAGAAATGCATGGCCTTCCAAGACTGGCCTTCCAAGTTGTCCACCCCACCTTAGGAGACTCTGGTGTTCCTCATGTTGTCTCCTGAGCATGAATGAAACCAAATTTGAATGGATTCCAGGAGAATTATTTTCTGACATATTGGTAATAGTCAAGCCCATTCTTTGAAAACATACTAGGGGATTTTGCCAACCGCAATCAGATCATTTCAAACTGTGTAGTTTCGAGAATTATAAGCAGATGCCTTTCTTACCTCCAACCTGGTTCTATCAACATCCTTTGGTAGTTTCACCCGAACTCTGTTTGTTACTACAAGTGTTTCATATGGATAGACCTATTAATAAGAAAAGGTAAAATGCCTAGAAGAATGTAAATGATACATATGTGTATCTGCAATTGATGCACCATTTCACATGAAGGAAGGAAGGAAGGAAGGAAAACAAGAATACGATAAACCATGCTCAAAAGGGGCTGATTCAGGGTCACCCAAGATATTTTGCTGACTGAGGCAAAAGGAAGGGCAGGATGGCACCCTCTCCCCATTCTGGACTGGCGGCTGGCTCTTCACCATGGCTGGAGCGCAGCGCATCTGAGGTGGCAGGTTCACTGAGCAGATGCCACCGCGTCAGCCGCCTGGCACGCTCTGCTCCGTCTTCCAGCACTGCTCCCTGCTTCCCAGCCTCTGCAGCAGGAGGCAGGTGCTTCCATCTACCCAGTGGCAGACTAGGCTTGCAGTGATTTGCAATGTTCTTCCCGTGCTAACAGCACATCTTACCTTGTATTCTGAAAGAGACCAAAAATAAAGAAACAGTGTTGATTAGAGTAGACCTGACTATTGTCCATATGATACATTAGGAGAATTAATTTTGGTATTATTACTTTACACTTGTGAGTGCTGTCAAAAAGATTTAATCTGTGAAAGCTCTTCATATGGAATCAAACTATTCAAATGGTCCTTACCTGATATTTCTTTCTTTCTTTATTTATAAAATTTGCATGCTGTCCAATTACTAAAGTCTCCGGATGGCTAACAGCAATATTGACCAGAAACAGACATTTACTGCATGAATACCTGCTCTGGAATATCCCTAACGGTAACCTTATTGGCATTTCTGGTATATGGAGACAACACTGGGCCAAAAGGCATTTCAGTGACAGGGTCTGCATGACATGGAAACCCTTCTAGCCAGCTTGTCTCAGTGTGCTGCCACACCATGCAACCCTAAACTGCTTCACACAGGGTGGGATGTTTGTGGGCAGCTAACTACCTTGACAGCCCAAGGCCTGTTTTGGACTGTCTTCCAGTCCTGGGTGAGAGCACGTGAGCTGCTCAGCAAGAGAGGCAAAAGCCTTGCCACTCTGTCCAAACTCACTCAAGCCACTACCAGTACCATCAGCCCCACACACCAACCATGGATATTAACCCAGAGAGGGTGCAATACATTTGTTTATTTTATATTCCCTTGGTACTTGCTATTAAGGGAAAGCAAAAATGTGAAGACTCTTTGCTCATGAAAGGGAGTGATCTGGCCCTGACTCTTCTTTCTTCAGGAGGGATCTTTTCTCATGAAAGGGAGATGCTCATGAAAGATCTCTTTTTAGTCTCTTAGACCCTCCTCTACCCTTTCTTGAGACTGTAGTTGCTTGGCAAAGTAGAAAAGCCCAATTTCCAGATAAAAAAGAAAGAAAAAGGAAACACGCTGCAGTGGATTAAAAAGGGCCACAAGGACAGTGGGGAGAAGAGGCTTTAGGCACCAAGTTCCCTGGGATACCAGGTAAGGACTGAAGGGGAAAGCTAGCCAACTGTCGTGAGCTAGGCATCCCCTCCCGAACGAGAGAGGCACTTCAGCAATTATTAGAAGAGTCTTTATTCCATACAGAAACAATGTATTCACAAGTCTCGAAACCCGCACACCTGGGGGAAAGTTGACCCCTTGCTCTGCCCCCTTCCCAAAGCTTTGCTTATGAACCCTTCAGGGCTGGTCTCTGGAGGGGCGCGTGTTCTTCCCATTGAGCTCCTAATTGGTCTAGCCAGCGGGTATGTTGACAGGCCCTTGTGTCCACGTTTCCTGGGGTGTCAAGTTCTCCTTCTGAGAACCCCTCCCCAGCCTGTTCTCCATTGGCTTCTTTCCCACAATCAGGAGTGGGAGGAGGCTCAGTGGTTTTCCTTGAAGTGCTTTGCTCCAGCACTGGCTCAGGCTGGCTCACCGGGAGGAGTTGGGCAAATGAGGCCTTGCTACTCTCAACAACTCCAATATCAGGGTGAGAACTATGAGCCACAGCTGGGTGAGTTATTCACTCCCCCTCCTCCGAGTCACTATCCCCACCAAAGGCCTCCATTTCCCGTGCGCGCCTGGGAATCTCATCCAAGCGTGCATGCACGACACGCACACTGGGGTCAGTTGTCTACTGGGCATACCATGTTGGTCGTTCAATGTGGCTTATCATGGAATGCAAGCAAACCCAGTAAGATGACAAACACATGAAGCAATACTGGACAGAAGAGAGTCTGAGGGGAAGACACGCATATGAGATGGGGACCATGTATGTCAGCAGTTTCCAGTGCTTTCACAGACTAAGCAATAGCTTTAACGAAAAGAGGTAATTCATTGGCATGTTGCCAATGTTGTGATAGCAACCCACTGTGGGCCGGTGTTCTGACTGACCAGTTGAAGACCAGCGATCTAAACCAGAGGGCAGCAACAGAGCATGCATGGGCACAGTGAGACCGACAAAGCCCTAATAAGGCAGCAGGAAGTCAGCAGATTGGGAGCTCTTCCAGTCTGGCACCTTTCTACTCCTGAGTTAAGGCTTGGGGCTGCTGAGGGACAAGCAGCGGAAGTGAGGGATCCCAAGCACGGGGATAGAAAAGCAGGGAAGTGACAGGGAAAGAAAGGTAGGAATCCAAGGAAAGGGGGCAAGAAAATGTGCCTGGGGCCTGAAATAATGAAAAATATCACATCAATTCCGAAAAGGTTGTTTATCCTTGCTCGAAACCATCCCTGAGGATCTAAGAGCAATGGGAGCAACTTCATTCTCAGTTGACTTCTCTGACTCAAGTGGTCTGAATAACCCTAATGTTACTAGTTCAGAAGGTATTTATGCTAGTGGTTTGATGTAAAGTTTGTAATTGCTCCATTAATCCAAACTCAGTAAATTTTAAATGCATCCTACATTGTAGATGTGTGACTGAGGGTCCAGGCACAGTTCCAATGTCATCTGATGGTTGTTGCATAATGAGTTGTGGCAAGTATCTGAAGTTTCTGCAGCACTGGCAGAACTCATCCTGGGATCCCACCCACCCTCTTTTTGTTTGCAAGGCAGAAATCAGGTGGTTGTGCTGACTAAAATGATGGTGTAAGTATACCTCTCTTTCCCCAAGCAGCATTCTGGTCCGTGTCATATTGGGTCATATTTGCAGGCTAGAAGAGAAAGAAAGAAAATTTTGTACAATAATAATGTTTGTGGAATTCTATCACTAGCTGTCCTTCATTCATAGCTGTCAAGAAGGCATTAAAACAGACCTTTGTTTTGAGCCATGTCGGATATTTCCAAACCAGGTTTTATATCCTGCAATTAATTCCCCAGCCTCAGACACAGAATATTACAGGAGTCCAGATAGAGTCATACTCAATGAGTAACTTAGTCATGTTTTCCTATTCAATTTGTATTATGATATTCTCCCTCCCTCCCTCCCTCCCTCTCTTTCACACACATACACAGAGAGAGAGAGAGAGAGAGGGCAACACCAAGTTGTTTATCAGTTATTGCCCCTTTTTGCACCATATTTTAGTAGCAGCCATGGATTGATTCCTAGCACTAATTACTGCTACTAATTCCTTTCTTTTCTTAAAGGCAACACAGAGTTGTTTATTAATTATTTTCCTTTCTTTGCACCAGTTTCAGTAGCAGCCACATAGTTACTAATCAGTAGCCGCTAATCAGGACTGATTCCACAGCATATGGAAGGAGATTTAACACCTTCCCTCTGTGGCTTGACCTTATGAAAGTATTCCCCTGATGCTGCTTTTTGCCCTGCAAGGGAAGTTGTTAGTGATGCAACAGAGAGCATGTGGGACAGGGCTTATGTTGCTCAACCTAAGTTACACATTTTGTGTTGAGGAAGAAGCTATCATACTTAAGTATGTGTGATTCTGTTTTGTTAAATTTTATTACTTTAAGTAAGCGCACACTTTGTAATGCTCAGCTAATGACTTCAATAGATTTCAATGAGTAAAATGGCAAAGATGCTTTCTCACTTGTCACAATGGGCAAGAAGATGTTAGGACACTTATTAGTTTAACTTGATTATGAAGTAGATTAGAAGTGTGCTTGGAAGGTAAGCAGAATAACGTGTAGCCATGGTGGGCATTCATTACCAAATAGCTAATGTATGGTTGCAGAAAACCCCGCTGCAGCTGGTGGAAGGAACTGTAGCTCAGCAGGAGAGCCCATGCCTTGTTAACAGAAGGGACCTAGGTTCAACCCTTGAGAAATCTGTCCAAGTTAACAAAAAAAAAGAAAAAAAAAAGAAAAAAAAAGAAACAACCCTAAAAAGTCACTGTCAGGCAAAGTGAACAATTCTGGGCCTGATGGACAATAATCTGGCCCGGCACAAGGCAGTTTCTTAATCACAGACAGCTAAGTAGTTCATCCATCTGATCAAGGCTAGCACTGTTTATGTATTTAGATATTTTTATGTCTACCTCTACATGGTGTAATCCATTCTTTCCATAGTCAGGAAGAGAAGCAGATTTGGAATATGGAAATCCTATATAAACGACACAGAAGAGAAATTTTGTAAAATATAAGGTCTTATATGGGCTTTGATTACACATGAGCAAAAGAACCCATCTAGAGTATTTAAGTTATACTGTAAAAAATAAACAGGCTTTGTCAAACAGAAACATGTATCAGATTTATTCTAAGTTCATGTAAAATGTACCTGATTTTATGTTATTTCTGATTTTATTTTAGCAAGGTACTAGTAAACTTAAATATGGATGGAGTGCACACTAGAAGTGGTTGGCTGAATTGCCACTGAATTTCACTTTTCTCATCATACTACATCTAAAACAGAGGAAGGCAGAGAAAAAAATAAATGCTTCATTGATTGTGATACAGCTGCTGAGGGAGTGGAACAGGTATGGCAGCCCAAGTTTATTTCTTCTTTGAATTTTTGCAAGACAGCAGATGGAGAGACCAGAGAAGCCCTAACAATTATTTTACTAGCACAGTTCTGTACAAACTTACTCAGAAGTAAATCCCATTCAGTGGAACTCAGTCCTAGCTAAACATGCATAGGACTTCAGTCTAACTGAGAGAAGCAACTGGTAAGACTTGGAATTTTTCCAATGAGGGGAATTATTTATAAAGAGACACATAGAAAGAAAAGTCAGGGAGGGAGAGAATGAGAAAAATTTCTGATAGATTTGATAAATCTGTGACTGGCAAGCAGGAATGGAGACCAGTTCTAGTAAGCTTGCCTCTGAAAAATGTGTACATCAGGTCTATACTCCAGTTGTTTATCAAGAAGTGGACTTGAGAGATGATGACTTTCCACCAATAGCTGAAACCCTCAATTCTTTCTATAGCTTCTTTCACCCATCTATCCCTTCGTTAATCGCACTGCTACTGTAATCAGCTTTACAGCCTCCCCTGATTACACTGACCTTTCAAAAAAACAAAAACCAGCCAAACAAAAACATTGAATAACACTCAGCTACAATGCACGGCCAACACACTGCTCCAACTCCCTCTCTTACCAGCATAACAGGTATAACAATTTTGAGCTTCTTTGTGGGGCTGGCATAACATAGCCATACCCATGACACCAGGGCAGAGGCTTCTATGTCACTAATGGTGGTAGAGAAACAGCAACTCCAACCTGGGTCACTATGAATAGTAGGTATTATCTATAGGTAAGGAAATTAATGTGTCTGTGTCTACTGAACAAAGGGCTGAGCCAAAATGATGGATTATGTTTCACAAAAAAGACTGCACCATATGAAATGGACAATAGTTTGGAGCAAAGGGTCTAGCCATTCAAAGTGAGAGCAGGCAGCTGTGGTGATCAATAACAAGGAGCGAATTCTCACATTTTTCATCTCTACCAGGACCAGATCTTTTATTAAATGAATGGATCTTCAACACCTATTCAAGGTCAGCCATCCCCAGATATTTTGCTCTGGTTCTAAGAAGTGCTCTTCTGTGCCTTGCCTCCACTACATGGCTGATAACACCTCAAGGAAACAGGCTGATTCCCCTATCGTATCTCAGCCTTCGTGCCATAGGCACACATGAATTTCATGCTTCACATTGTTGGCTGAATGTGTATGTGCTGAAGTCTGAACTCTCACTAGAGGCCTAGACATACCTTCACTGCACTGCTCTAAGTGATTGTGTTAATAAGTTCTTAGTCCTTTACTAGAAAACAAATCAATACTTACGCAGATAGAAATTGTTTGCATTATTGTGCAATCGCTGAAGTTCTCTATCTGTTCCAGGACTTTGTGGGAGTGATTGAGTATCCAGAACTGGAGAATTTATTCTGGCATCCATATCCCCTTTCAAAGGCAGCCAGCTGGACTTTAGCTGAGGAGAACAAGTCCCTGTTTCAGGCATTTGATACTTTACAGCAAATTCAGAAAGATACAGATTATCTATGTAAAATATCCATGTAAAATTAACATTTCAAGTTATGTTAATGAGGAAACGTAACTTGAAACTAGAATGTTAATGAGGAACATAACTAGAATGCTAATGAGAAAAACGTATTTCTTGTTGATCACAATGGCAGAATACAGTACCAGTTTTCCATTTTAGAAAGTGTATTAGGTTTGCTTGATGAAATTTCAGTTACAGAGGTTGTTTAACTGCCTCAACAACAGTTCAATTGCAGGACTTGGGTCTGGTGTGTTATTCAGTCTCTAGTCAGCTGTGAGGAAACCTCCACATTCTCTACTTTACAGAGAACAGTGCAGCATTTTCGGTCCAGAACTTCTGCTGCCCCAATTTAGTCTGATATGGTAGCAACCCTGTGCTAATAAGCACGAAAAACAGTGTGACATGGTTCCCTGAACTTTGGGGCCTTAATGGAGGTTGTGAATGCAGGATCCACCTCTGCCTTGTACTTAGGTTTGTTCTGACAAATTCATTCTTTTTAAGTCTCACCACTTGACCTTCTGAGAAATGATTATCTGGTGACTGTGTGAGAATGCCCATGCTATGCCCTGAGGATTCCAGAAGTCCCCATGGGCTGGTTGGGGCCCCCTGATTATTCCAGCCAGTCCCACACAGCAACAAACTAGGACATCAGGCCAATTTACAATGCCAATTCTTAATATTCTTGCCCATTTGCAGCTATATGCCCCAGTTACAAACCACCCATAGCTTTGTCAAAATCTCCTTTTAAAGATGACCCACAATTCTGACAACTCTCAAAACTTTTTCCTCAGAAAACAGGGGTGGACGGTACTTCTGCACTTTCCCAAACAGCTAGAGTCACAGGGAAAAGTTCAAAATGAGTCCTTCCCTAAGGAAAGAACTATCAGGGAGGGAAAAAGGAAAGGCTCTTTCTGCAAAGATATCACCACCCTTTTGCAAACAAAGATCACCCACACCTTTGCTTTGATTGCTTGCCTTTTGACACCTGACAAGAAAAAGCAAAGGGAAGAAAAAGCATATTTGGACACCCTTTGTGTCTAGGCTAAAAACATCTTGCTATCACAGCAAGCCAGTTCCAGTTGCCTCCAAGTGCTGTTTGGGAACTTGTGGGGTGGCTGGCACTGGCCCAGGCAAGTTGAGCAAGAGGAGCAAGGGGCACTGCTGTTCTGTCCAAACAGCTCCATAACTGATTCCTGGTACCAGAGATGGGGCTGGCTACCTAGGTTTGAATGGTGTAAGAACTCATCAAACCACATAAAAATCCATGGGTTATCAGAGTGACTTGTTACCCAGAAACACATTACCATGCTGGAATCATTCTTGGTTCACAAGGCACAACAACCCATCATGTTTCTGAGTTAAAGTGGGTTTGACCTGAGGTGACTCTGCTGATTGCTTGAGGGAAGAAACCATCTTTGTGATGGCTGACCTAGTCAGGAATTCAGGAAGACCAGAAAAAGTGAGCTTGAAATAACTGCAAATGCTCAAACATTCATCAGTTTGGCTTGCTGCAGGCATGATTATCTGGAGCCATTATTTTGAGGGATTTGCAATTAATAAATTTGATTAATGTTGCTGACTTACTTATAAAGTATATTGCACTTTGGTAAGGCTGCCAGCACACCACCACCTGAGAGTTCAGAATCACCACATCCTTCGTATATTTTACTTTAAAACGTTACCTCAAAATGTCTTTTTATCAGTCTTAATTGAAGCAAAATATCATTAATACTGATGTTGAGATTACATTGGCCCTTACAATATGCAATCAGAGGTAGCTGGCTCAGTTATATTAAATGGAGAGTGCTGGCATATTTGACATTGATCTGCTGAATCTTTTAGTAACCATTGCTCAATGTTACACTGAGAAAATAATTGTGCCTTAATGCATAAAGTCTAAGTGATTAACATGTAGAACATGATCTATAGTTCCAGGGTTTTGCTTAATTCATAATCAGACATATATGTTGAATGTGAAAAAGCTGTACTGTATAATACATGGGTGAATTCACTATGAATGTCATTATTGTTATCTGTATTTCCTTCCATGGCAGTTTAGAGTCATATTCATCAAGGCTATGCTATTTTTGCTGAGATATATATTTTAGAACTACTTACCTGGAACAGTCCTACTATTTTTAATTAGAATCATTTTAATATGGTTTCAATCTATGCTATCATCAATATTTAAATCAAATTTGCTGCCAGTTCAAAGCAAACCAACATTTATTTATTTAAAAATTTATAAACTGCACCAATATAGATAGGGCTCTTTGGGCAGTATACAATCAACCATATAAGAAAACCATATAATAAAACAAGTAAAATGCAAAAATATTACAATTTCAGCAAATACATAGATCATGAACGAAAATTATTTCAAACAAGTATAGTAGATTAAAACAATCAATAAAGTTCACAAGAATGCAACGCAATACATTAATAAGGAAAATACAATTAATAAGCATCTCCACTGCTATAGAAAAACATGGTTCCGGTGCCTTCTAAATTACCTTCCTGCTGTCTTGATCAGAGCTCCCACTGTCACCATCTGATTTCCTTGAAGCTAGACAATAAAAAAGAATTTCCAGAGTAAAAATAAAAATGTGTTATTACTACAAAGGGTACTCAAAGCCCAACAGATTATGTGCTTGATGCTGAAAGAAGAGGTCCATGTGAGGACTTTAGTTGACAGGTGGGCCTATTGTTAGGGGTTCTGATGATATCTAGATGGTAAGATTTGCATTGACAATGGGTGATCTTTTCCATCTAAAAACCAGTTCCCCATCTTTTTACTTTTAAATTTTTATTTTCTTTTCCCTCCTGTATGCCAAGGGATTATTATTTATGGACTCACTGTAGGCAAGACCTTGAAGGCAGTTCCTACTTAATTACTTTACAAGGAATTATAAAACAAAGGCTAGAAAGTGGCCAGCTATAAACTTGGGTTTGTGAGATTATCTGCTGAGACTGAGATCACCAACGTTGGAAAAACAGACCGGTGAGATAAAATGAGCAAATTTGTACTTATGTGTGCAAAGTGGAGTGCAAATATTTTTTTAAAATTAGTTGCCATCGTTTTTCCTCCCATTCTTGAATATACTCAAGGTATTTTGAAAAAATTACAAATTTATCATCAACTTCTACCTGGGACAGCTCGGCAATGTTTGTGAACTGTGGAGCGGGACTTGATGCAGTGAATGAGCTGATTGGAATTTTGCAGAGAAGAGAGGACAATGATTCTTTCTGTCAGTTGCCATTTCCCCCTTTCTTCCTATACTTGGCAAGCATTGGGGGAACTTTGAGGGAGGTTGTGATGTGTCATTGCGCAATTTGATTTGAATTTGGTGCAATTTGGAGACATTGTGACCATTGGAAAAAGCAGGATAATACTGGATTTCAGTCTTCTGGATGTTTGGGAACTCTGAACATTCCTTTTCAGTGTTTTGGTTGAGCTGAGTGGAGAGAGGGGAATTCTGACATAGATGATCTTATGGCAGAGAACTCACAGTGTGATAGGTGTCATCTGCTAGACTTGGACAAAGGCTGCAGATCAGAGAATTTGAAAGAACAGTTTAAGCTAATAAACTAATCAAATACTAGTAATGAATATTAAAAATAATATTTAGAGTGTGATTAATAAATTCTTAGTTAAGAATTTAACATATTAAATCTTTCCTTTCTGTTCCATTCTCTCTTTCACTCCTTTCTTCCTCTCCTTCTCTTTTAAATGTATTATACTATTTTTACATAAGAAAAACATTGCTTCTTAGATTTTGGAATATATTGAAGTTTTAGACTCCAAGTGATAAAAAATGAAAAAAGTGTATAAGATGTATACTTACACAGAAGATCTATACAAGAAAGAGCTTAACGTCCCTGAAAACCATGATGAGGTGGTCACTGACCTCGAGCCAGACATCCTGGAATGTGCAGTCAAATGGGCCTTAGGAAGTCTGAGCAACAACAAAGCTAGCGGAGGAGACAGTATTCCAGCTGAGCTATTCAAAATCCTAAAAGACGATGCAGTAAAAGTGCTACACTCAATATGCCAGCAAATTTGGAAAACTCAACAGTGGCCACAGGATTGGAAAAGGTCAGTTTACATTCCAATTCCAAAGAAGGGCAATGCCAGAGAATGTTCACACTACTGCACCATTGCACTCATTTCACATGCTAGCAAAGTTATGCTCAAAATCCTACAAACTAGGCTCCAGCAGTATATGCAGAACTACCAGAAGTACAGGCAGGGTTTTGAAGAGGCAGAGGAAATAGAGATCCAACACTTGCTCGATCATGGAGAAAGCTAGGGAGTTCCAGAAAAACATCTACTTCTGCTTCATTGACTACGCTAAAGCCTTTGATTGTGTGGATCACAACAAATTGTGGCAAGTTCTTAAAGAGATGGGAGTGCCAGATCATCTTATTTGTCTCCTGAAAAACCTGTATGTGCGTCAAGAAGCAACAGTGAGAACTGGACATGGAACAGCTGATCGGTTCAAAATTGGGAGACAAGTATGGCAAGGCTGTATATTGTTGCCCTGCTTATTTAACTTATATGAAGAGTACATCATGAGGAAAGGCCGGGTTGAATCACAAGCTGGAATTAAGATTGACGGGAGAAATATCAACAACCTCAGATAAGGGTTGATAAGGGTGAAAGAGAAGAGTGCAAAAGTTGGTTTGAAACTCAACATTAAGAAAACTAAGATCATGGCATCCAGTCCTAGCAAATAGAAGGAGAAGAAATGGAAGTAGCGACAGATTTTATTTTCTTGGGCTCCAAGATCACTGCAGATGGTGACTGCAGCCAAGAAATTAAAAGATACTTGCTCCTTGGGAGGAAAGCTAAGGCAAATCTAGACAGCATACTAAAAAGCAGAGAAATCACGCTGTCGACAAAAGTTCGCATAGTCAAAGCTATGGCTTTCCCAGTTGTAATGTGTGACTGTGAGATTTGGATCATAAGGAAGGTTGAGTGCCGAAGAATTGATGCTTTTGAATTGTGGTGTTGGAGAAGACTCCCGAGAGTCCCTTGGAGTGCAAGAAGATCAAATCAGTCAATCCTAAAGGAAATCAACCCTGACTGTGCTTTAGAAGGCCAGATTCTGAAGATGAAACTCAAATACTTTGGGCACCTAATGAGAAGGAAGGACTCATTGGAAAAGACCCTGATGCTGGGAATGATTGAAGGCAAAAGCAGAAGGGGACAGCAGAGGTTGAGGTGGCTAGATGGGGTCACTGGTGTAGTGGGCATGGGGTTGGATGAACTCTGGGAGGCAGCAGAGGACAGGAGGACCTGGTGTGCTGTGGTCCATGGGGTCAAGGAGCGTTGTGCATGACTTTGTGACTTAACAACAACAACAGATTCATCCCAAGGTCTGAGAATGAGCTCTGAAAGTTTGTTTTAAAGGCTACAAATAAAAGTCTATAATAGCTTTGGCTAATTTTAACAGAATGCTAATGATAAGTTTGTAAAGAGGAATATTTAACAACCTAAGTATTGTGGGGATTGCTATAGACAATAAAGGAAGAGGAGGGGAAAAAAAGGAAAGGAATCTGTTGCTGTTGAATTTAGAGCTGGAGTTAAAGATAAGAAAGCAGTTTGGAAGAGAATATGGTTATAAAGAGTTCCCTCTGCTGGTTAAATAAATGTTATAAATAGGTGAATGTCACACAGAAATCCCAGGAGGGAGAAGAAGTCAGCATATCTGTCTCTAATTAGAATTGTATCTTCAGAATTGGAGGGCTGAACATTGGGATTTCAAGGGAAGACACAGATGGAACTGGAGATGAAAAGCCTCAGAGAAATGATGGAGGCAGGCATTAAAGAGCTAAGAGAGGAGACTGAAAAGGTCAACTAAAATTTGAAACTAAGACTGGAAAGATTGAATGCAGAATGTAACAAGAGAAGCAGGAGATGGCAAATTTTATTGTGGAACAAGCATATGCAGAAGAGATACATCTTAGGACTGATATTTTGGAATAGTTTAACAAAAATCTCCTAGAGGAGAGAGAGAATCATAAAGGTAATAGAAGGAATACATAGGGCAGGCCCTAAGCATGGATCTATAATGTTTCCCAGAGATATACTGAATAAGTTTACTAATTACTATAAAAAGAGCTACTTATGAGAAAATTGAGAGAGGAGAAGGGACAATTGAAATTCAAGGAAGCCCCTTATCACAATCTAAATGCCTATACCATTTAGGCATTCTTTGACTATAATCAAGATAATCCTAAAAAAGAATTATATTAGATATATTTAGGGCTATTTAGTACATATGAGAGTTTTTCATAATGGGAAATAAAATAGAATTGACTCTCTGACTCAAGGCTTTACTATGCTATATGAATGGGGCTTAATAGATGAAGAAGAATGGAAACAAGAATTAGCAAACATTGAAGACAAGGTTAGGAAGTAGCATCAGAAGGACATGATCAAGGAGGCAAAGAAGATGATGTTGGAGCTGTGGGTGGACATTCACCAACCCAAAGTATTAGCTCACTGGAAGAGAGTGAGCATCAAAAGCATTAGAAGAAGAAACGAAAAAGAAAAAAAGAAGAGGTTGGAGAGATTGATGGACACTCCCTGACTCAAAGGAGCAGACCAGCAGAGGAAAAGAGATCAAAACAGAAACAGGTGGTTAAGAAGAAGGGGAAGAAAGAGAGAGGAAGGGTTTAAAGAATAGAGATGGAAGGAAAGGAATAAGTTTAACAAGATAATAGTCTAATAGAGAGCCTGTTAATGCTATATTTTTATATGTTGAAGAATATATGGATATGTATCTGACTTTCTTTTTGTCCCTATGGTATCTCCCTCTCCACCTCTTCTCACTGCTTTTTGTTGTATTTCTTTAAATCATTAGACGAGAGAAAAATAAGAAATAGGAAATAGAGAGACAGAGGGGTTGAGTTATATAATGATGTGTAAATCAGGTATTAACAATTAAAAATAAAAAATGGGATTGATTAGGATTAACTATAGAAGTGACAGAGGCATTAGGAGTTGGAACCAGTGGCTGTCCCTCCCTCCACTTATCTTCTTGGGGGGAAATAGGGAGAGATGTTAGATCTGTGGGGTGGTGGTATTAAAGGGTTATGGGGTTGGGACTGTAGTGGGTGGAAGAATGGTTTTTTCTTCTTCACACACACACACGCACACACACACACGTATAGAAGGTGCACTAAGGACCAATTAAGATACATGTTTATAAGAGGTTATGGTTAAAACTATGAGACTAACATCTCTGAGTGTTAAAGGTCTCAGGAGTGTAATTAAAAGAAAAGCAAAGACAACAGACAAAGAAGAAGGAAAGCTGGATCAGGCTTCAGTACTAAGATAAGAAAGGAGAAATAAAAGAGAGATAAAATTAAAATTCTCTCAATGAATATCAGTGGTCTATATTTCCCCTCTAAAAGAACAAAAATGATTAGTTTTTTAAAAACTCAAAAGGCTGATATTATATATATCCAAGAAACTCCATTAAGAATAATATGCTCCGATTTTGAATAATAAGAAATTGGGTAAAGCATATAAAGTCTCAACAGATTCCAAAAAAAGGG